CCACCCACCCACCCAACCCACTCCTTGTGTTGCCCTTTAATAATTTACCGTCATACAGTCACTGGACAAACTCCATCCGCAGAGAAAGCGACAGAAAGTGAGAGTAAAAATTTCATTTGGCATAACTGCATGAAAAGAAGCTGCAAAACCGGCCTTTTCATCTATTATTGATTTGTGCTTACAAGCCATGCATAATGCAGGGGGCCGTCTTTATGACAACCATGTATTAAATATCATGTTCTGGGGTCGGGGGGTCTTGGGCTGCATGCTTTAAGTGCCACAGTTAGTTGGGTTTTTTTTTTTACCGTGTAATAGCCTGCAAGGACAGCAAAGAGAGAGAGAGGACTTGATAGTGAGAGAAAGCGATAGAGGGAGATTGACAGAGAGAGATGAGATGAAATGGGGGGACATGAGGGAGGGAGGGAGGGAGGGAGGGAGGTGTGCTAGCTGACAACGGGTTAACAGGAATCTTTATTTTTAACAACATGTCATCACCAGCCGCCCATCTGCTCCTGTGCTGTCAGAGTCCCTTGGGAGTGTGTGTAAATGTGTGAGGGAGAGGGAGAAAGAGGGAGATGCAAGCAAGCCATCACAGATCAGATCACTGATCAGTACTCAAAGGAGGAGGAGGGGAAAGGACAAGGTTAGAGAGGTGGGTGGCACACAGATCTCTCTCTCCTCTAATATCAAATGGGGTGTGACAGGAGGGGTGAGGACAGTAGGAGTGGAGGTGAACGGTGTGTGTGTGTGTGTGTGTGTGTGTGTGTGTGTGTGTGTGTGTGTGGTAGTATTAGGTGGATCAATCTACAGATGCCCTCTCTGTGTTTGGATGGGGGGATGGAAGGAGGTGGAGACGGTGGTCCGGAGGTAATGAAAGGGAATCTATTAACACAGAGACAGGGGGGATATGAGGAAACACAAAGAAAGAACAGCGGTGAAGAAGAGGAGGAGGTGTGTAGTCTATGCCGGACCTCCAGGGGTGGCCCCAACAACTTTTTTTTTCCCCCCCGCCGGATTAAGGGAATAGTCCCTCGGGAAGAAGGGAGCAATTCAGGAGAGATGTATTTTGGTGGAGGTAGTTGGGGTGGGGGTGGGGGTGGACTTTGTATTCAGAGAGACAGGACCAACAGCTAGCCGTTCCGCAGGTCACTCATCATTAGCAAATACACTTTCATTTCAATTCAGTACAGTTAATCTCTCTGCTTTTGTTCTGTCTTCACGTGAGACTGTCCCGCCACCCCCCACCCCCACCACCAAGTTTACGCTTGTTTTTCACTGTGTATGCCAAAGCTGCAGCCCTCCACCGGTCCACTCCACTTCACCAAAAGTTTCGATGGAATGAAAACATCTTGTTTTGACATCTATGATGATGCGCTTTCTTTTTGCACCACATTTAGAGGAAGCAGTCCTCAGTCCTTGTTTGCCTCGCGTCTGCACTGAATCTGCATCTCAAGTTGAGCACTGAAATCTCTCCCCCTTTCGTCATCTTCTTCCCAGTGTCTTTCCCCCCCGTCCTTCAGGCATGGTAAATTTGAAGGCTAATTAGTCCAGAGAAACCAGTCATACCAACAGCCCACCCCAGGCCACACACACACACACATCCTCCTATTGATCTTATAGCACCAAAACAAGCACAACCACCCACAAATTCACACACAAAACAGAAGCAAACAAATAAGATGCAACAAGAGTTTTTAGAGCATTATGTATGATAGATGGTGCATACCTACAAAAATCAGCGAGCTTGCTTTATGCAAGTTTTTTTGACCTTGACAGAGGTCAAGTGAGCCAGATATTCTGCATCATGCTCCAAGATGCTATTTACAGAGCCGAGTGTAAAGGAAATGTTTTGCAGCATCAAAACCTTTTTTCTTGCAATTCCTCTTCTCCTCAGTTACTCCCGCTTCCTCAGCCATCCCTTCCCCCTCTCACTCTCCATTCTCAGTCTTTCCCTCATTTCTGATCCATTTTTTATGCATTACTCCATTACTCTCAACTCCCATTTACAGTGCATTACCTCCTCCCATCTTTCACAAACACACTTTGTACTTCTCTCTGTTTCTTTCAGTCACTTTGCTTTGCTCCTTCCCTCCCTCGCTCTCCTCTAGTGCATTATGACACTTTCCTCCACTTCTCCCCTTCACCAGCTTTATTATCTCTTTGTCTCTTCTCCGGTCACGTCATCTCATACTAAGCGCTTCTTTCCCCCTTATCTTTATTTCCCCCTAGTTTGTCATTCTCTGTACATCACGGCGTCTGTCTGCATTACTGTCATCCTCCCCTTTAATTGGTTATTCAAAGCATGCCATGTAATTGGGATTTAATACTGCCTATTGTCTCCGCTCTTTTACAACACCAATGTACAAATGTCAGCTGATGTAATTAACAATACTGGCGGTCAGTCTGTCCAGACATTTATTTGATCCGCACATGAACGCACAGACAACCAGCAGACTTTGAAATTTAATGACACAATAAATCACTATATTACAAGTTGCCATACAGAGTGAAACAGCGGAGTGACCAGTGTGTAGCGATGCCATCCTGCAGCTTTTAAATCAGGTAAGTGTGACGATGTTGTCTTCAGCAAGTTCTTTACAGCAGGAGCTCATGGCCATTTTTCTCATGTCAAAAGTTTTTCTCTTTGATTCTAGGACACAGCTTGCGGGAACCCATACTCATTGCTGTGGATAAAAACAAACAAAAAACATTTTGGTTTGGAATAATCTGTGATATAAATCAGATACATTTGACTTGAAAATTTGTAAGGAGAATGATCACGTTTTAGATCTAAATTTGGGGTAAAACTTGAAGCAAAATGTATGGAATGATTACGGAAAATACCCATCATCAAATCTTTTTAAACTGGTTGGGAATCTTTGCTCTTCTTCAACTGTATAAAACACAATCTACTACTTTTACAAGGACTACTTTTAATCTTGGCTTTCAATTACAGTAAAAGGGGCTTTGTGTGATCTATAACCTTTATCAACTCCTATATGTGACCATGTGGATTTACTGCAAGATCGGGCAAATGATGCAACTAACACATGAAATGGTAGAACCAGGCCTCAGAGCGATCCACCAGACAGCTCGTCCACTCTCGCAGGGTCACCTTCCTGTTCCTGTTACGGTCACATGACCTGCAAACACAGCACAGTGCAACACACGATGACCTCACAACATGGCACCGGCAGACGACAGAGCAACTGCAAAAACAGATGCGTTCACTCATACTTTTATGAACCCATGCACTCGTTGCAAGTGCACACAACATGATAGACTTGTATAGATGCACAGAGATGGTATAAAGACATATCCATAGGTATAGAAACAACTGCACTGGGGTTCCTCAACAGCCGTTGTCTTTCATTTCACCCTGCAGTATTATCTCTGAAGGGTACTCCTTCAATTTGTGTTAATCCATGGGCAGCGGGAGACACAGTGGGTAATAAACATTATCATTGCTGGGAATGGCTTGACATTGACACAGCTTGCCCAACTCCCACAAAACCTGTCACTGCAGACTGACAGAGAAATGGGAGGTTGGGTGGGAGTAGGGATGGTAGAAAGAGGATAAGAGATGGAAGAGTGCAAGAATGAGAGAAGAGTGAAAATGAAAGAGGGATTGACAGAGAGGGAGGAGGCTGAGGATAAGTCAATTTATGGGAGAGATGAAAGGAAAGTAGGAAGCACAGAAGGGGAGAAGAAATGCTTCAACATGGAGGAGGAGTATGGTGATGGAGAGATGGTGTGGTCATGAAATGGGAGGGGAGGAGGACACAGGAAGCGGGGATTGGCATGGTGAATGAATGAATAGATGGCATGCAGAGAGAACAGCATGGTGGGAGGTGCAACGTGGTCACAGAGCGGGGGCGAAATGCATCTCTGTGTGACATTTTTAACCCTTGGTGTTTCAGTAATTAGCTGAGATATAACATGTTGCAAGAGACAAAAAGGTTCACATCATGAAACTTTGTGTGACATGAGGTGATGCTGTTATGGACATAGTCCCTATCTTACTGACCACTTAGTCACCTCATGGTAACTGCGTAGTAAGTTTTTCAACTAAATTAGTCATCATATAATTTCCTGCAGGTGGGACTGACTGAAAGAAGGGTGTAGCGCAGTGCTCCAGCGGCATCCTCTTGTAACGCAGCTTCCTCAGGTCCCTGCGGCTCAACTTGCCATCTTTGTTCTTGTCCAACAAGGTAAATCTTTGCTATAGAGACAGAGGAAGAGGCATGAAAGTAATGGTGCAAACTGTTCAGCTTTACAACATTTCTTTCATTTCCATTGTACTAAATGTAAACATACATAAACATGCATTGTTAGCCATGCTAGCGGCACTTCTCTAACGTCTGGACAATTACTGGAAGGATTGCCATGAAATTTGATATAGACATTTGTGTCCCCTGCAGCATAATAACTTTGGTGATCCCTCCAGCGCCAGATTAGCCTCAACTGTACGTTGTTGTTGGGTTTCATGCTAATTAGCAAATGTTAGCATGCCAATACGCTAAACTAAGATAGTGAACATAGTAAACATTACATCTGTTAAACATCACCATAGTATTAGTATTGCCATTGTGAGCATGTTAACATGGTTGTACATTCTTCATTTGGTGTTTTACAATTGGTGGACAAAAGAAGTACTACAAAGAGTTTTATTCCAAAATACAGTGTATCATTTTTCCTATCATCAAAATAATGCACAGCTTTTTCTTTTAATTCATTTGAGGCCAGGAGGTCAAGGTGGCTGGCGGGAGGATATTAAGTTATCCCTCCATTCGCCATCTTATTGAATAATTTAGTGATTATTGACCAAATCCTATTTATACATGGTTTTCTTGAGAGCCACTGTCTCATTCTTTGGATGACCACACCACGAGCAACACAAGAGCTTGCCACTTACAGTAAGTTGTTAACATCGATTTCTCTCCAGATAATTCATGAAGCACAGTTTGTATATTAGCACGATGATGGTGTCTGGTGTCAAAAACAACTTTATGTTCAGTGTTAAGTTGCACGGGGGAGTGACAGTGATCCCCTGGCATGTTTTTTTTTCTTCTTCTGTCTATAGTTTCTCTTTTTGCATCATCATTAGCTGAGATCACAGATCATAAATCATGTTTACTACTCTCCAATCATCATCTCCCCTTGGACACAGACTTGTGGTGTCTGTCAGTCTTCTGTTTACCCCCACTTGAAGCCTGACATCTCAGATACCTGCGCTAGTTGTGTCCTCTGGGTGTGGCTGAGGCAGCTCTGGGGCGGGGCACCAGGTGTGTACGACTCCCCCATACGACTCAGGAGCAGAAACCAGTCCATGAGGCGATATGGAAACTGGCCTAACTCCTCCTCAGTGCATTTAGCCTTGGGGACTGATCGAGAAAAATAACAGAGCTAGTTTGGAAGACTGCAGTGCACAGTGGAGATTTGTGTGTAATATCTAATGCTGTATGTGTTTACCCAGACAGGGTCCTATGTGAGCCAGTCCAGTGCGGCGTCTCTTTCTGCAGGCTTCTTTATGCAGCAAACATTCATTCCCATAGGTTTTTCCCAGAACACTGCACACTGGTGCCCTCTGTCTGATTACATGAGCCAGTGCACACATGCAAAACCATATGTGAGGATGGATCTCATTTTTGTGCACAGCTGGATTAAATAAACACCTGTATTTTATGATTTCATCCCAAATTCTACACCCTTTTTGGTTTTATACGAGTATCATTTATAAATCCAAAGGCAGTGAATGATTAACTTCACACATGTGTGCAAACATTTGAATACATTTACTGGTAAAAAAACAAAAAAATGATCCAAAGCACAAATTAAATGTTGATAGGTTTTAAATGCCATGAGGCAATTACCGTGGACAGGACTGAGGACAAACACACTTGGGGATCAGGACTCCATTTTCCTGAACCACCTGGCACCAAGATCCCACTGGACTATGGCATTTCAGCAACTCACAAAGCTTTTCTGAAACATGAAGAGACAACCTTGTGAATGCATAATTTCTGTTCTGTTTCCACCAGTTCAGCTTTAAGTACTGATTAAAGGTGTTTAGAATGAGAGAATCATATAAAATAAGGGTCTGTTTGAAGGATAGAAATGTCATTGAGTGATGGACGGAAAAGTAAGTTGGAACAAGAGAAAGTAAAGTACAGGAATGATGGCAGGAGAATGAATAATTTGATTGCCTGACTTTTAATCATTGCTATACATTAAATTCTTGGGCCAAAATACTATGCTGTACACATGCATCACCCAAAATAGAAAGACATGCAGTGGGAGACATATCTTTGAAATTGTTTATTATAGATTTACTGATCTTATCAACTGGTTCAAACAAATGTTTTGGTCAAATTCTCTTTCCTTAGAATGGGACTGTGTTTGTCACCAAATGTCCCATTTTCTTTACAGTCAAAATTGCAGATTCATATAAATATAATATCTGTATAGATCACTTCTGCTCTGTTTATTCTTTTCATTAAACATGTAAATATAAAATATTTTTGACAGCAGTCGTATATGGTCATATTTATATGGATTATAAGTTACTGTTGTTTGAACAAACAATGCAGACGTGTCTTGCACTTGTCTCATTGTACATTACAGTCTTACCTGGCTCTACTCTGCCAATATATGGTCTCAGCCTCTCCTCGGCTTGTCTCTGTCTGCGCTGGGCTCTGCCTCCCTGACACACACAAACACACATGCATTTCTACCTTATCAACAATGAATTATTTGGCTCGACCAAAAGTGGACCATTATTTCTAGTAATTTTGAAAAAAACAAAAATGCAATGCTATGGTCTTTCATCATAATATAAGCACAGAATTGAATTTGTAATTTTCTTTTAAAAGTTGTCAAAGGGGGCTTGCAACTCTGGCCGATGTCTACATAACAAAGAGGGGACCTCCGTAGCCTGAAGTGTCGCTGTCAGTGGTGAACACAGACTGGGACATGAAGACATATAAAGACTTGCTGTCTTTCAAAACTTAATCTTTTGATTATATTATTTTTAACATTTAAACATTTTGCTTTGACAAATATCTTGAAAATAGACACTTGTTGCACTCCGTTAGCACTAACTATTATATGTAAGACTAGAATTGCTAATGTATTGCTGAACTCTTTTAGCAGAGTGGTCAAAAGGCACGACTATCTAAACCATTAATGTAGGCTATGCATTTTGTAAAAACTTATAGTGGATGCAGTGATCATTAGTGTCTAATGTTTTATCATAGTTGGAAAACAGTTCCAATTGGACTTCAAAATGTGCAGCAGAGCAGGGGATTGAACCTTAGATTTCAAACCCAAGATTTCAAAACTTACGCGTGGCCCTCCTGAGCCATTTGACTGGGCACTGTTGAACATTTCCTTGAGCCTCTGACTTTGGACTTCTCAACAGTCTTTGGTCTCCATTTTGTCATGACCATTTGAGCAGTGTTTGTCAGACCTTTTGTGTCTATCCTTTGGAAGTCAGGCTTCAGAATTCACTAGGTTAACTGAGGCTTGAACCCACAAGCTCAAAGGTCCGCAACAGTCCTCTAAGACCCTGAGCCATATGAGCAGACACTTATGAACTTTATTACTTAGAGTCTTTGCGTCTTCATTTGGGTGTTGGATTATGAAATTCACTGAGTCTCATAAATATTGAACCTCAGAACTTCAAAGCAGTCCTGTAACATATTGAGCTATTTAGTTACGGACTGACTTTTTCTTAGAGCTTTTGATTCTTTCCTTTGAGTGCTGTCCAAAGGAAAACTTGGGACCACCTTTGGCAGCTCACGGTAGACAAGTTGAAAGGCATTGGAGCAACAGGACTATTCAGAGGTTTTTAGGTTGTGGGTTTGATCCTCTGGCAACTTGTTGTACTTTCAATGCCCGCACCCAGAGGAAAGACTTGAATACTTTAAGAAATAGAGCAAGCTCTTCTGGTGAGATAGCTCAGGGAGTTAGAAGACTGTTTGGTAGCTTTTGGGTTGTGGTTTTGATGCCTATGAGATGCATTGAATTTTTAAGTCCAATGTTCAATAGAAAAAGTCAACATCTCCAAGAAATAAAGCTCAAATGTCTCTGTTCAGATAGCAGAGGGAAACAGAGGACTACTCTGGAGATTTGAGGTCTTGGGTTTGATCCTTAGGCTTTGCAGTGAATTTTGAAGTTCAACACTTCAGCACTCAAAGGCTCAAGGAAATTAGAGGCTAATGATATGACCAAGTAGCTCACGGTGTCAGAGGATTTATTGGATGATTTGAGGATGTGAGTTAGATTCTTCTGAGGCTCAATGAATTTTGAGGTTCAACACCCAAAGAGGAGACTGAAAAGTTCTCAGAGAGAAGCTGCCAGTGTGAAGGTTTGTATCCTGCCTGTTCTCTGTACCGGGAGCATCAAAAACCAATCTCGTGCAGATCTCCTGATCTCCAGAAAGAAAGAAGCAGGGACTTATGTCATGCAAAGCTATGACCGGCTAATATTTTGCTGCAACATAGAGGTGGCTGTATATATGTGTAACTTTACTGTATATAGTGCACCCTGCATTGTGTCTCCACACTGCCACTGCCCATGTAGCCACACATGGACATAGTTTTCTGAAGCTCCCTGTCATGTTCTAGGCAGAGGATGAAAGGTTCCTATGTTACCATGTAATTTCAGAGGCATGCACTAAACTCAGGTATAAACTTCTCTTTCATCGTAGACTTTCTGTGTTAAATTTTGGATGTTCATGGTTCATACTGATCAAAACCATGTTTACATCAACTTTGTTCATCATCAGCTCTGATGAAGCTTCTTCACAGGTGAAGAAGCTTTTTATCTACCTCTAATATAAATCATCAAAAAATTATTTTGAAGTCAGTGTACTATAAATGAATTATACTGTACAATTAAAAAAAACAACAAAGAATGGAACCACAGTGAAAACTTCTATTTCCAAAAACTTTGTAGTCTGTGCCAGGTCCACATCTGCCCCCAAAGTCCTCCAAGATCAGATGGGAAACAGGTGCACTGCTGACCCAAAAAACTGGAGCAACACTTTCTTAATACATGAATTACCATTTAACATATTACAAAGCAGCCCCCCTGATAACTAGCAAAACAACAGGTGAGGAGAGATTGTGTGCACTAAATATTCTACCAAATAGCCATGTGATCCAGTTCTTTAAAGTTGCCCTTTTCTCAGATCATAAAACAATAATATGATTATCCTTTATTAAGGTTTGTAACATTATTGTTCTCATATCCACATCAAAATTTGACAGCAAGTTTAGACAGAAGTTATAGACTCACCATGGTTGTACAAGAGTGAAGACTGAGGAGCAGAAACAAGGCGAAGGTCAAGCTCAGGTTCATAGTTGAGACTTCCAGTAGGATACACAAGGAAATTGACAGATTTTCCTGCAGGAAAATACTTCACTAAATCACTCTGATCTTCATATCACATCTGTGGTTGCTATCTAGAGTATACAGTATGAAAAATCATTGCCATGTGTTTATTTCTAGCAGCATCATCACTCTACATTTACATTTCTTGATATAAATTACATTTGAGGTTAACTCAGAAAAATAATTAGCACTGGAGAACTATCAATTTGCTGAGATCAAGCTCTGTTAATAGAAGCACTCTTTCCTCATTTTCTCCCTCTACTTTCTTCTGTGGTTTCATTTACTGACTATTACTCTATTTCCAGTCATTTTCATAATGCAGCAGGAAACAATGCACCTCATTGAGTCTCAAGAAAACAATCATTTTCCATCACAGAGGAAACAGAGGGTTGGATTACACGGAGAGGACATTCAGCTTTCAGTTGAGGAAGTTGTTACAGTCTAACAAGTCATTTTCTATCCCCCCGACTGCTTGAAAAGAAAAACCATCTTACCAGGGCCTCTGTCACTCCTTTCTTCTGTTGTTATTCCCTTGTATCCTTCTTTCCTTGTTTCCAGACACCCTTTTCTTTCTTTCTCACTCTCACCGTGAGGCTGTATTCTTTTTACGGCCCTCTTCAGCTGTCTGTACTTTCTCTTTTCATTTGATCCATCTATTTTTACATTCTTGCCTTATCTAACCCCTCCTCTCTGATTTTCCCTGTCTGTCAGACTTTCTCCCTCTCACGTTAGCTCCTTGTTGATTGCAGGTAAGTGCACAGGTACCTGAACTCAGCGTTAGTTTAAGACATTGTGCAGTTCAATGCTACTGAGATGGAATATGGGAGAACGTACAGGAAAAGCTGTGCCTACTGAGGAAGTGAGAGAGAGTGAGAGAGAGCGAGAGAAAGGATGTTTTCAGGGGCAAGTGCGGTGGCTTTCATTGAAGTTGGCAGAGACAGATTTACAAGCCAGAGAGAACATATGGTCACACATCTTCCTCTTACACTCACATCTCTCTATCTCCCTCTCCCTCTCTCAAACATTAACTGCAATGGAGCTGGAAGAACACAGCTGCAGAAAGTAGAGTTATCCACCTCTAGACGGTTAGACAAATCATAAATTGACTGCTGACTTTAGTATAACAGCAAGATTACGAGAAAACCTTATATATATATATATATATATACACATAATACTTTATTTAACATTTTAAGGAACCGTTAAGGGATAAAGTTAAGGTTGTTTTGAGCTACTGTTTTTATTTTAAGGAAATCTTAACTTGGACTTTAAGGAAAATCTTAACTCAAGGTCTCAACTTTTTTATGGGTGTCTCAGGTCCTGATTTACTACAGAAGTCTTCCCAAATGTTTTTCTTTGCTTCTTGTAGCCTACTTAGCTTTAGCTCCAACTATCTTGTATTTAATCGCATAGCTCTCTAGTGGATCCACCATACTACACCATAAACAGTAATACAAAAGCAAAAATAATATAGACAAATTCAGTGCTAATTATTTTCATTGCATGCACTTAGTATTTCTCTTGCCTTCTTTAAGCACCAAATAACACCAAAACAGCACATCAGTGATCAACAGAAGCACAAAGGAGTGAAGGCAATCAGAAGGTGGGACCCTTCTGTGTCTGGAAATTAAACAAAAATCTGCAGCATCTCAATATTGTCACATAGGACTAATGAGGCACATACAAAGTCACATCTGTGCAACCTTGTAACACCGGCCTCTAGAGGGCGCAGCAGCATTCTGACTCTTCTTCGTTGGTGCTCTCTTGCCATGTTTGCGGAAGCTTGGTCACAGCAGCGAACAGGAGGCTTGTCACCTTTTCTGTGTATGTGTTGTGGCTGTATTTTATAATTCAAAATGAACCTGCCGAAGGGCCCAGATTCTCTGTGCTTCGACAAGGATGTTTTTATGAAGGTGAGAATCCGTGAACGTTACGTTTGGTAACGCGTTAACCGTAAGCTGCTGTTGTCAAACTAGCTAGCATGGAGCTAAGTCAAAGTAATGATCCTGGATGCTCCAGTTTCTGAAACCTCTGTTTTTTGTTGAATAGAAATACTTTAGATGTAATAAGCGTTTAATGGTCAACGACAGACATAGTTATTGTTGTTGATATCATGTCAAACGTTAACTTCTCTGTGTATGAACCATGGCCAACCCTTAATAACAAACGACATTAATAATGAGAAAAATGTGTTCATGCTTTATAATGTGCCTCTGTTTGTTGTTTATTAGCTGCGTCTATTTTCTGGTGACATTTACTGATACTTTACTTAGCTGTCCATCGCTTAGTAATAACCGAAAATGCATGACTGGCTGCATTAAATGTCTGTACCCTTCTGGTCTGTTGCTGTCCCCCTGTCTGCAGGATGACTTTGACGTTGACCAGTTTGTGGCGGAGTGTCGGAAGCAGGTCCAGCTGGAGGAGATGAGAGAGGACCTGGAGCTCTACTATAAGCTGCTGAAAACAGCCATGGTTGAGCTCATCAACAAGGACTATGCAGACTTTGTTAACCTCTCCACCAACCTGGTCAGTTGCCCAGTATCTGTCACTGTGGCTGTAGTTACAACCATAACCCTGCAGTCAGCATGACTGTTACTGTCATGTTTGATAACAAAGTTAATTGTTAAATCCAAAATATCTTTAGAAAGGCATATCTGTCTCAAAATATTTGCAATATTTTATGTATATGTCGAAAAAGAGAAATAAAGAATATCGGACGTTTGATAACACATTTTATTATTCTCAAATATCAGTATCAGCCTTGACAATGCAGTACTGTTGGGATCTTAATATGCCCTTGAAAAATTAATAGGAATGCATGACACAGCTTTTATTTTTAAAATGAATCTAATGAGGATAGACTGTTTCTAATCTCAGACCTCTACTCCCTACTCAGGTGGGGATGGATAAAGCCCTCAATCAGCTTTCTGTGCCATTGGGACAGTTACGAGAAGAGGTTATGGTATGTGTTCTGATTAAGAATTATGTAAATCTTGATTAATTCATGCCACAGAGGCTTTATTCATGTCGCTGTTATCTGTTGCAGAGCCTACGGTTATGTGTGAGTGAAGTGATTCAGGCTATAGACAGCCAGCTGTCCAAACAGGAAGATCTACAGAAAAAAAAGGTCTGGTTCCTCGTCTGTCAGTTTGACTTTTATCATTCGGTCTTATTTTGTTTTCATCATTAACTGTATTCTATGATCACCCGTGCAATGCTCTTTGACAGTCTAGTGTAACATGTCCATGCCAAATTGTGAACTTAATGTTTCAACAAGCTTTATTTCTTTGTGGGATGATTTTAGTTAAGTATCATCTTCCTATATTTATCACCATCCATCAGGTGTGTGTATTGAGGCTAATCCAAGTGGTGCGCTCAGTGGAGAAGATTGAGAAGATCCTCCACTCACAGAACTCCAAGGAATCCAGCTCTCTGGAAATCAGCAGGTGGGAATCATGTCAACAAACGCACTGGCTGTCACTGAATGTGGGCAGGTTATTTACCAAGTAAGGCCAGTTTCAATATTTACATTTCAATATCTGGCCTAAACAGGTATGACAAGTACTCCTTGCACTCTCCTTGCACTTATTACACCAAGGTCTCCTACTGCACTGAAGCTTTAGTGTTTTCACTCACTTGTAAGTCACTTTGTAAGGTACTGTGTATATTTTTGTATATCTATCTTTGTTTGGAGGTGCAGAGAATGTTTTCCATTTTTGAACAAAAATCCAAACTGTTGACAGAAAGTATTCCAAAAACACAAAGTACTTGAGCACACGAGAGGTTCAAACTGTTTGAGCTTGGTCACTGCAGGCATGTGGTGCTAAGCGTTTGTGTCTGACTTTGTGTCTTTGTATGTAAAGTCCTTTGTTAGCAGGTCAGATCCTGGAGAGGATAGCTACAGAATTCAACCAGCTGCAGTTCCACGCTGTACAGAGCAAAGGCATGCCCCTGCTGGACAAAGTCAGACCTGTAAGTGTTAATGGGTCAGTCAATCGGACAGCTGATTAATCGCTAGCCACTCAGTTTGTCAAACAGTTTTTCTGCCCGTCTGCTCTTCTGTCAATCCACCAGCCCTGCAATTATTTGAAAAAGATAATCAACTTTTGTTTGATCCTTCTGGGTAGTGCTGAGGACACCTCTGTTACAGGAAAAAATAACATCAATGCACTGACTATCCATTAATGATCTCCAAAAATATTTGATCCTAGCACATTGATGCATGATTCCCTTGGTCTATGTGTTCCTACAATATACTAGAATACTTTTGATACTAATTTTTTTTTAACTATGTATGTGACGATGTTTCATCCTCTGTCAGCGTATTGCCGGCATCACCTCCATGCTGCAGCAGTCTCTAGAGGGCCTGCTGATCGAGGGTCTGCAGACATCCAATGTGGACATGGTGCGTCACTGCCTGAGGACATATGCCACCATAGACAAGACTCGAGATGCTGAAGGCCTGGTCGGACAGGTGCTGGTCAAACCGTACATGGACCAGGTAAACGTTTCACACGTGTTTGTGATATACTCCAGATCCCAGGGCGTTTCAACTTTTTTTTGAGGACATAAACTGCTAACTTTTCTGAAGTGTTTTTTCATTTAAATCTGATAAATTAAATCGATGAATCAATTCAATTAGCTTTATATGGGCCTAAAAACTAGATGTCATGTAGCAGGAGATAATACCATGTAAATATTGAGTTTCTTATTGAATGATAGCAATTCTTGTATATCCTGCTTTAGTAAGTTGTATGGATCAGCAGCTAAAACTCTCACCTCTTTCCTTCTTTTAGGTGATAGTGGAAGAGGTGGTGAAGTCCAGTCCGAACGGTCTCCAGTTGATGTATTCTCGACTGCTGGAGTTTGTTCCTCATCACTGTAGACTGCTGAGAGAAGTGACTGGAGGAGCCATATCCAGGTATTAATGTTATCATGGAGGCAAATCTATTCGAAGCGTGATCGCAGATCAAGTAGTTCTTTGTTGTGTTTTGCCTCTACTTGAAAAATAATCTGCTTTCATCTGTTGAGCTATTGAGCATACGGAATATTGGTTGTATGATCTTCTTCAGAGATCACACAGCTTCAAACACTTTTATTTATTTCTGTTTTAATAATACATTCATGTAATTACCATGCATCGTTTACTCAACGGATTTGAACATTTTCTCTCATAAAGGGTGTCAGCTTAACAGGGTCTAGTGGCCTTTAAAGATTTTTTCAGAAATAACAACTACTACTTTGAAGACATTAAGTTAATCAGCGGCTGGTATAGTGCCCAGGGTATAAAGTATCATAACATATTTTTAATGTGCCAGTGTTCTCTCTCTCCTCAGTGACAAAGCTGACATAGTGCCAGGTTATGATTTCCTGGTGAACTCTGTTTGGCCGGAGATAATCAAGGCGATAGAGGAAAGGTTGGGCTACCTCTTCAACCCTGGAAACCCTGACATATTCTATGAGGTACAGCCACAGTGACACAGTTGATGTGTGTATGCGTTCGCTTTGAGAAAATTTTTGTGTGTTTTGTGTGTCTTTACTGCCAACTCTTCTTTTCCAGCGCTACAGCATGAGTATGGAGTTTGTCCGAAGGTTTGAGCGTCAGTGCAGCTCGCAGGCCAGTGTGAAGAGACTGAGAGTACATCCTTCATACACCAGCTTCTACAACAAATGGAACCTGCCTGTCTACTTTCAACTACGGTGCATATTACCTCAACACAATCTATACTCTGCATACTGAACCTCAGCCTGTAGATTACACCACATACAGTACACATTCCACGGTCCTCTTTGCTAACTGCAGGTTTCAGCCTCAATCATGTTGGTAGTGTGACATCATATTTACTGGAAAAGTTAATAATCAGAGTGTGTACTAAAGGAATTGTTTGACAGAGTTAGATGAGATCAGTACCACTCTCATGTCTGTCTGTTCAGTATGAAGGTGGAGCCAGGAGAGGAATAGCTAAGCTTAACATGAACACCGAAAAAACTGGGGGAGACAGCTAGCCTGGTTATGTCCAATGTAAATTTAGATGTCTCTGAACAAAAGCCCATTTTTATAAGAATCTGGAAAAATTGCTTATTTGTATGAGTTTCATGCAGGGTGATGACAAGAAGAAAAAAGGAAATTGAGGATGTGCGTCAGAATATAACATACCGCATAAACATGACACCCAACCTTGACCAAATGGCCATTGATCTGTGCGACAAAGTAAAGAAGTAGTCTACTCCTTCTGCCCCGACAAACATACACACTGTAAAGTACACATGGCACAGATTCACCATTGCACGTCAAGATAGATATCAGGTAGTTGTGTCCTCATTTCACAATACAAACCTGCACTGTTCTGCTTTTCTGGAAAGTCCATATTTTCTAGTACACAGTGTTGTTTCACGTGAGCAGGTGCATATCAGAGCTGATGCAAGAAATGAGCTGATAACACATCGATTGTTTTGTTTTCCTCCTCTCTGCATGGCTCTCCTCAGGTACAAGGAAATAGCAGGAAGTCTGGAGAACGCTATAAGTGACGGACTCGAGGCAGCACCAGGTAGGAATTTATTTTCCACCACGAACACCAGTGTGGACCTCATACGTTACTCGCACTAACTGTGTGTCTGTGTCTGTTCATGTCCAGCTGGCAGTGCATACCACCTGCAGGCTTCTGAGGTGTTGTGGTCCTGTCTAGTGAGGTGCTGGTCAGACAAGGTCTACCTGTCACCTCTTGCCCATCGTTTCTGGAAGCTCACGCTGCAGCTCTACTCACGATATGCCAAGTTTCTCGATGAGGTAATCTCAAATAAACCAGAGGAGGACTATAATGATTTAAAGACTATTTTTAAAATCAGTAGTTCCAACAAAGCGGTATGCAAATGATTAGTCATCTTTGTTCCTCATCTGTATCGGTGTCTGCACAGGTGTTGACTAAGAGTCCATCCGCTGAGGTGACTAAAGAGCCAACCAGGCCTCTGCCCAGCTCGGCCTCCTCCACCTCCAGCCGAACGTCAATGGATGACGGTGGCAGCGAGAGTGGGAGTCCTGCCTCCCTGTCCACCAAACAGCTGGTCTACATTGCCGCTGACATCCAAAAGCTTCAGGAACAGGTGCTCACACACAAACTAAACGCCCATATTTACACGTGTAGTTCCAATTAACACATAAATTAGCATGCCTTTCTCAGAAGTTCAAACTGACAGTTTGCTCGTCTTTCTCTTAGATCCCAGAATTGTCAGAAACGGTCAGACAGCGTTTAGAAGCGGTCGGATTCAAAAACTTTGCTATTGTGGAAGGTAAGCTGCCCACACAGTGCCTAGAGAAATCATTTTATCTTTTCACTTCCTTTGCAGGGTTTCCGTGATCTTATTCAGTAATGTTTTGTCCATAAATGAGCAGGGAAATGCGAAGATGGAGCAGAATATTTTTTTATCTTTTTGGTTTTTCTGAATTTTCTTGGGATTATCTGTTAGCACAATATCTGCTGTAGTCTTAATTTGATATAATGCATGCTAAGGGTACACATGGTCACACAGTCATAAATGCCATTGTCCTCTGACATTTAAAAAATGTAAACACTCAAAAACGGCAACAGGCTTTATGTCTTAATTGACTATATTGTGGTCACAATATTTTATTACTTTAGTCCAATGTTAGCTCAGAGTGCCTTTACTTCATTGCATTTACTAGTGCTCTCTTCTATGTCAGATGCTCTAGCAGACTCCAAGGCATGCCTCTCAAGTAGCGTTCCCACTCTGAACGCCAGGATGACCCAGCATCTGACTGAACGCTGCTGCCGCTTCCTGAAGAGTGCCTCTGAGGTTCCACGGCTCTACCGCAGGACTAATAAAGTCAGTGAAGCGGCAAGCATTCACATATACATGTTGCTCCTATATTTCATCATATACAGTAACATTCTCCAATCACATAACATCCCTTGGAGCAAACACTGGGAGAGCACTGTTTGTCTGATTTAGACAAAACCTGGAGAGCTACTGCACTTGGAACTGTGCTTTCACATATACATTTTCTTTAGATGGAAATAGTATAATTGAAGGTCAGAATGTCACATTTGAAATGCTCTGACTGGTCAGATTTTGATGAAACCTGGAGGGATGATGCATCTTAAAACATGAATGGCTTTCAAACGTATGCCACTGGAGTATTTTATTATCATTGGCTCTAAAATTGAGCCTATTATTGAACTAAATGATGTTTCAGTAACAGGCTGAGCACACTTTTAAGAGATTTATTATATGTGAAGCTCATCAGAGTTCCAGAAACTAATGCAAAAATTGACCTTGGATGTGGCAGTTTGACAAAACAATTCAAAGTCCTCTAACTGGATTTATTTCTAGTAACTCTGATTTGTGCAAAGGATTTTCCATCAAACATCTTTACCTCTATCACTCACTTGCTCACTCATGGTTAGCCTGTCTGCCCCCCAGTGGCCACTAGCATCATGATATTGTGTTTCCTTATTCCTCATAGTTTTCTGTAGCATTGTTAGAACATTAACTATTTTGCAATGATGTCTAAATCAAATTGTATTCCCCCAATATGTTCCAAGTCCTGATAGTAAATTTTTAGTATCTGCTAATACTGAGTCTGATTCTATATTATTGTTTCCGGGAGGTCAACAAAAACTTTCAGGTGGTGTTAAGTTTCTTTTTTTTTTTTTTATTTCGCAGAAGCAATTTCAAATATGACTGAGGACTGTATAGATTTATATGAAGGAAATGTAGCCTACATAACGGATTTCCTTTCATAGTTCTCTCCTTATCCCCAACATGAACAAAACGTGGAACTTTAAATTCACCTTTCAACCAATATGTGTCCTTCAAATATTGAATTTTATTCCAACAAGTTTGTGAAAACCTACAATATTTGATGTCCTCCCTGTGTAGGATCTGCCGGTGCGGGCATCAGCGTACATGGACAACGCCTTACGTCCGTTACATCAGTTGCTGACAGACTCAACAGGGCTGGTCACCCCATCCACAGCACAAGAATGGCTGCGAGTTGCACTTTCTGACTGCACACAGAGGTAATTTTACGCACACGAATGGACCCAGATACAGTACCCATGATGAAGAATTTAAAATAGCTGACTAAGGCCAGTATTTAGATGAGTACATGTGCTCATCCATTTATTGTAAATTGGCTTCATTATAAAAAATGTCCCATCACATTAACTCAAAGAAAGTGAGAGGAATTTAATAGATATACAAAAGGAAAATTACAACCTGCTAACTTTCTCTCATGAACATTTTCTTTTCCATCATTCTTGACATTTTTTTTCATTCAGATACTATGAGACCATCTCAGAGGTGCTGAGCTCCGTGAGAAAGATGGAGGAGAGTCTGAAGCGACTGAAGCAAGCCAGAAAAGGTGCGACCACAACTACCACAGCAGGAGCAAATGGTGGACCCACAGATGACAGCAAGATCCGTCTTCAGCTGGCACTGGATGTGGAATACCTGGGGGAACAGGTCAGTGGTGTTTGACAAGTACACAATCACATTCAGATGTGTGGAGATACATACCTTACCTTATCTTACCATACATACCTTCCAGCAAAAACATATATTACACTCGCTGAACACTTTATTAGGAACACCTGTACACCTGCTTATTCATGAAACTATCCAATCAGCCAGTCATGTGGCAGCAGTGCAATACATAAAGAGCTCAGGATCTTCAGTTGATGTTCACATCAAACATCAGAGTGGGGAAAAATATGATCTCAGTGACTTTGACTGTGGCATGATTGTTGGTGCCAGACGGGCTGGTTTGAATATTTCCAAAACTGCTCATCGCCTGGGATTTTCACACACAACAGTCTCCAGAGTTTTTACTCAGAATGGTGCGAAAAACAAAACAAAACATCCAGTGAGCAGCAGTTCTGCAGATGGAACTGCTTTGTTGACAATAGAGGTCAGAGGGGAATGGCCAGACTGGTTGGAGCTGATAGAAAGGCAACGGTAACTCAGATAACCAGTCACTGTGGTGAGCAGAAAAGCATCTCGGAAAGCACAACATGATGAAACTTAAGGCGGATGGGTTGCAACATGAGAAGGCCACATCAGGTTCCACTCCTGTCAGCCCTCAACAGAAATCTGAGGCTGCAGTGGACACAGGCTCACCAAGACTGGACAAGTGAAGGCTGGAAAAACGTAGCCTGGTGTGATGAATCTGGATTTCTGCTGAGGCATGATGGTAGGGTCAGAGGGTCAAAGTTTTTTTTTTTTGGTGCAATTTGGGCCCCTTAATACCATTCAGTCATAGTTTGAATCTGATCACAGTTTGCCATCTTCTAATGGTTACTTCCAACATGATAATGCACTATGTCACTAAGCAAAAGTCGTCTCAGACTGGAAGCATGAACATCACATGGGGTTCAGTGTACTTCAGTGGCCTCCCCGGTCTCCAGATCTGACTCCAACAGAACACCTTTGGGGTGTGGTAGAATGGGGGAGATTGGCAGCATGAATGTGCAGCTGACAAGTCTGTGATGCAATCATGTTCAATCATTTCCAACGTCTTCTGGAATCCATGCCACAAAGAACTGAGGCTGTTTTGAGAGCAAGGCGAGGTCCTGCCCAGTATTAGCATGGTGATCCTAATAAAGTGTGCGGGAGTGTATACTGTAGACAGTTACAAACTGCTACTAGGGTGTGTTACAAATTTCAGTGTCATCTGAAATACTTTTGGCTAATATCTCTTATGTTGCTTTGTAATGTTGTTTGTCTCAGATCCAGAAGATGGGTCTTCAGCCGAGTGATGTCTCCATGTTTTCCACTCTGATGGACCTTGTGAAAGAGGCCCGAGAGCTTGCTGAACAGAACCAATAAAAAGTTGATTCCACAGTAACTGAAACCCATTAACATGCTGCACTCATCTCTGCATTTCCTGAAGGAAAAAAAAAACATTTGGCCCAGTCCAGGCTAAAGGTCATGGTCTGGTAACAGTCGATGATGATCAGACCATGAAGAATGTAGGACAAGATCTGACATTATTGAAATCCCTTTTCAAGGTTTTGTACAAAAATATCTCCATTTAATGCAGACCTTAGATCCACAGTGCACAAACATTTGAACAACAGGGACCTGCCGGAGTTGCATCTGACCAGGCTGTAAATTATTGTTTGAAACAGCGATAACTACTAGTTGGATCCTCGCTGGTTCTGTTGTAGGCACTGTGAATAAGAGGGACTGTTATTTTTCTGATGTGGCAAGAAAGTTGCAAAGACAGAATCAAACAATATTTGTCTAATTTCTGCTGTTGCTCGGTGAGAGATTCATCTCAAATAAATAAGTCTTTTAGTGTGTAACGTACATTTTTGTTAAAATCGAATTTGTATATTATTATATGTTTAACATAATTAACTTGGGGAAAAAATAAAGAACTTTGGATACAATCTTGAATTTATGTGTTTAAATACAAATGTCATGAGCTGACTACAACTGGTTGGGTATTAGTTATGGCAAATTCACAGGACTCTGACCATTGTGTACATGCCAACAAGTCGTTTTTACACATGATTTCACTCCAAAAGAAATATGACAGGTTGACACCATACATATATATAACTCAAAGACAAACTGTGGTCTTATGAAAACTCAAATTTGGCCTTGAATAACCGGTTTTAGATTTATTTTTTTGGACCTCAAGAGCAATATGCCATTGACACCTTTCACCATTCAACAATACTGCCTATTTCCATATTGTTTCACACATTAGGTCATGTTCTCTTCATGTATTTTCTAATCTTTTTGAGTAAGATGTAACACACAGTATATGTTGCCAATACAATTCAACCAGGCATTATAAGACCTTTAGTTACAGATGTTCTGATTTGCAGATGTTATATTTAAAAATACTGATTTGTGGTTTTGTAAAAGGTAGTGCATTGATCTTGACTCAACATCCTGTTTACACTAAACCGTATGATGTCAATCGGTAATTGGCTGATTCTGTAATTAGTCAAGAAGATTTTCTTTTATTTTAAATGAGCGATCTGTTTATTCTTTGGTTTAGCTCCATTTAGCTCCATTTTATTTTTCATAGAATATAAATACAACTGATGTCTAGTAGTTGATGAGATGATTCTCTAAAAAGGTAATTGTCTAAATTATTATTCTACATCTCACCAAAATTTCTGTCAGCAGTAAAAAAAGCATAATCTCTAACCAGAAAGGTGAATGACCTCTATTGCAGCAGTTCCCTGCAGCCAACACTGAAATGATAAAGACTGACTGAAATCCTGATGAAAAACAATAACATGATAACTATATTGGGAAACAAATGTTTTATTTTAGCAATCACAAAAAGTAACAAAACAAAAATAAACTCTTAGTTACAATATACAACGTATTAGTCATTCATCGTAGAGAATCGTGGTTACTGTACCTACTCTACTGAAAAATACTGTACAGAACTCTGCTATAATAAATTTTACAGAAAAAAAAAAACAATTAGGAATTTTAACAGACTGTTTGAACATAATTCAGCTTAAAGTAACAGGTTTTCATAAATACTGAGACAGGTATCCTGAGTGACTCCTGAGATTGTGGAGAGGATCAGGTCTGTGGTGAAATATAACTACAACACTGTTGAATATTGACGGTTTCGTCCCGTGTGAGGTTGTACTTCATTCCTCATGTACTGTATGTGGCCATTATTTCAGTTGAAAAACAAGGGCATGATCTAAATGTGACGTCTGATGAATGATTGATTTCAGCCCCAGTGGAAGCTTAAGCTGTAGGCAATAAAGTAGATTATAAGGAAATGGGCCTGGTATGTCGGACATTTTTCATGTCAGAAGTTTTTGTTTGCGTCATACTATATATCACAATATAACTTTAGAGTGTAGGGTTTGTGATCTTGCCCAGCATGAGGATGGCATTAGAATCTCCCTCTATGACAGAAAAGAAGAAAGGTCGGTTGATGGACAGTTTCAGAGGGACGCCCGCTTCTTGTATCTTGTCCTGAGGTTCTGCTCCTTCCTCAGACATCTCAAACAACACCTTGTTGACCGCCTGAGAGGAGACAGGGAGATCTGTTAATGATGCACACATACACAGTGAGCGGCTTTTATTATTATGACAAACTGAACACGCATCTAGTTCACCTTATCTACAGTGAAGGGCTTGGTGTTGCTGAGTTTGCTGAACTCAGCCTGGGAGCCCAACAGTTTGGTCTCGACTTCTGGGTCCATGTTGGTCAGCAGGTCTCGCAGATCAGTCACAGAGGACATGGAGAACTTTGGCAGTGACAGCTCCAACAGACTGGGTGGGTGAGGGAGAAAGATTAAGTTTAAATTTCAAGACAAAAAGTATTTGAACTAAAATGGGAATTGTACCTGACTCTTTCTCTCCTAAAAATCCATAGCCTCATTTGCTTTACATTGATATGACAAGCCATTACTGACTGATGCACTGATAGACAGGAAGTAAGGTCTTTTAACCTGTAGCCAATAAAGTGGCACACACTGTATATCCAGGAATTGTTTCTACAGTCATGACAAAAAAAAAACCCAGAAGTGATGAGCATTGTTGAAACACAGTTTGAGTATCATCATTTAAAGACTAAATAATGTTCACCTTGAAAATCAGATACTTTTAGGTTTAATAACTTATGAAAAATAATCCAAGGTGTAAGTGTAATAACGGTAATTACACTTGTAGTCCCTTGCAATAAATGGTAACTATACAAAAGATGATGGAAAGAAAAATGGACGCACAACAGGCCCATAACATAACGTGACGCGTCAGAGGTAAAGATAACAAAAGATGCTTCAGCTTTCCAGTCCGTCAACTCATGAGGACAATAATAGTGAGAAGTGACACCAGGTCTGGATTTAGTGTTTTAAAAAATGGACAACACTCACCCTTCCTGGAGGCTTTGGTGCCAGCCAGATATGACTTCTGTGCGCAGCTTCGACTCTATGTCACGGAGGTTGGCCCCTTCATGAGGCAGGACCAGCAACATGTATGACCTTTTGCTCAGAGACAGCTTCACAACAGTGCACCGCCGCACCTTCAGCAAAACAAAACAAAGAAATATTGCAGATGAGTGAAGTCATTAAGATTTGAGGAAGCTCAAAAGGGAGGCTCATTTTTATATTACATACATTACATTTTTACACCTGAAGGTTTGCAATAAACAGAAATACACAAATGAGTCAACAAATCAGCATAAAAAAAAACACAATTATACTGAAATAAGATTTACCTTATCATTCAGGTAGTGGTACTGACCCGTGTGGGTCATCAGTGGGGCCATCACTGTGGTTGTTTGATCCACATGAAACTCCTGCATGGAGGTCTTCTCTGGTTGGAAGGCTGTCCTCCAGTTGCCTAAACAGACACAACCAAAGACCACAGTCAGGTACTGCTGCAGGGTGGGTGCAGTAGTTGACAGCACTTTGAACGCTTATATTTGTAGGGTTTCAGTTTGTTGTATCAGCACCTGGATCAATGCACAGAGCCAAATCTAAGTCTAAGTCTAATCTGAGTCTTTGAATTTCAGAATCAATTTATCAGAGACAAACCTTGAAAGTTGAAGGTAGAAATGAACAGAAGGTCACTGCTGGAGTTCAGACCTTGGAAGATGCTTTTCACCTTCTTGTCTGACGTCTTCTCCACAAAGTTGTTGACCAGTTGCTCAGCCTCCTGAGGTTTGGAGAAATCCACACTGCGGATGAACGATGCATCTGAGAAGTCCTGTGTGCCTTGAATAAAGTCCTGGGAGAGCTGAACATTCTGGCGAGTGAAGGCCCAGACCTGGGTAGTGATTTCATCTTTAGGTCCATCGTCCACCAGAGAGTTGATGCTCTGCAAGGTCTTGAGAACCTTGTGTCCATCCACTAAGGACACGCAGTCTTCTCGGTCATTGACACTGCTCAGGCCCAGAAGAAGCTGCAAGGATAGAAGAGGATTGGGAAAGATTTATTTTTCTTGAGTTAAAGTACCCACATAAATGATCAGGCCTATATCAATAATCCCTTTATTCAAAACAGTAAAGAATCAGCAGGGTCTCCTTCCCTAAAACTCTTTTGAGGAATGTCTCTAAAGTGAGAGCAAATCAAAAGCAAAGACCTGGAATGGGCGTGCTGTCTTCTTGGAGGCTCCCAGGTAGAAAGTCACGAGGGATCCGTAGGTGTTGACCGGAGAGAGGAGGGTGTTGGTGCTGTGCTGCTTGCTGCTGAGACCCTGGTACATCCTCAGGCCCAGAGAGTTCAACAACTCTGCCAGAACTGCCGTCCTCTCTGTAATGTTCTGCCTCTGTGCATCCAGTGTTGACTGGTCCCTGCTGTCTGGTGTCAGGACTTCAATATCAAGGGGCGTCACAGGAAGGGTCTCCAGGGGCTTGGACGTCTGGGTCTGCAGGGTCTCGCAGCTGACATTCTCAGCGGCAAAGAGACTGAAGGGGTGAACGTAGACGCGGTTGGCCTGACTTCCTGACAGACAGCAGCATAGTAGGAGGACTAGAAGAGGCGATCTCTGCATTTTACTTCTGTTGGTAGTCACCGTGAAATGATTCTTTCTGTGGAGGGTGACAGATATTTTTAGTTAAAGATGAATTACCTTAAGTATATCAAAACACAAGCTGCCTCCTGTGCACCTCTCAGTGAGCACTGAGCATTGGGTGGTCTGTGAATGCTACATGACTATTAGTGTGGCTTTCGTCTGAAATCTGGCTGAAACCGATTTTCCGTCTCTGACCGGATTGGCTGGCAGAACACTGGGCATAGAGCGGCATGTCAGTGATTGATTGATCACTCTTTGTGTGTCCTCTCCTGCTGGTCAGTGAATGAGAGCAGGCATTAACCTCTGCAACAGAGGTCGCATAGATAATGAAGACGCATCTATGTGCGTCTGTGTGCGCGCAATGTGGATATTGTTTATTGCTTATTTAGTTTAAAGATCCTTCACATTGGGGACACAAACTGAATGTGCTCAGGCAGTCATTAAACAAATTTACATGCTCACCATATATTAAGAAAAAAACTGTTCACTTTGGACACTGATTGGAAAATATGATACTATAATATGAAATATAATAGTTTATTAATATATAATAAGTTGCTAAATAAATTTCTACACACATATATATAAGTATATAATTAAAATAAAAATATACCGACAAGTTCATTAAAATATTTCACATTTTCTCAACTGTCCATTGTAATTTTGTTGCTGGTTCTCCTAATGAATACAGAGTAAACACTGTGTCAATACTGCAGTTGGTCATCTAAGTTAAGAACTGGCAACTTTCTCTCCTTTATGAACACTTTCTTTACATTAACCCAGATGTTTCTGAAGGAGAAGAACTTGGATAAGTGCTCTTATACAAAAATAGGACTTTATCCTTTGAGTTGAACGTGCAGAGATGTGGACTGATGGACTCTTGGAGGAGGTTAGCAAACATCGGATTAACCTCTATTTGGACATGTACCGCAGGACATGGCCATGGTTCCTGATCAATAAAACCAGTGCACTCAAATACACATACACAACCTGGTGTACTTGTTGACACAGGTTAAAAAAAAACATGGCTGATTCCTCATGAGAGACGTTTCTGTCAAGCTCCAGAATTTTGACAAAACTTATGCTATGATTGGATTCATAACAATATTGTATTCAAGTGGGATATCTGCAAAAAATAAGTTGTCGTATTTATTTTTATGAAGTAGATAACCCTCAAATTAGACTAAAACGTTTATGAGAGAGAGAGTTTTTGACATTCAGGACACTATTTTTTGGTTTTGAAGAATTTAATGGAATAGTCCCCCTCATTTCTCTAAACTCAAGCATTAGATTACATTCACTGTACTGCACAAAAGGCAATTACTGAGATTAAGTCAAAGTTTGCTCTTACCGTGTGTATCTGCTGTTCCTGCTGCTGAGCGAGGTGCTGAATGAGGTCCTGACTCCCCTGCTCCCTTACTTTAACCCAGCCAGCCGCCCAGGGTGCTCCCACTCTGGTTACTGATTAACCAAAGCAGCATTGAGTCAGGGGCTCTGCTGCCATGACTCACAGCCCGCTTTGTACTGACGAGCTGCTGCTATAGATAAATAGGTCTGACAGAGAGAAGAAAGAGACCACCCAATGTCCCTCTGCATGTTGACTTTAGGAGGATGATGCAAGCACATCCTGGAGGGGGTGAAAAGGAGAGCTCAGCTTCCACAAAGGGAGGAGTATCAGAGGGACAGCCATGCTTGTTTGTGTTGTTTGCCATCAGAGTGACTCACTGAAAAGTCACCACATTGTGGAGATGTTAATTACGCATGTTCTTTGTAATTTTTGCCTAACGGGGTCAAACAAGTATCAAGTAAACAAGTCTCAAACTTGGTCACTTAAATCTACACAAGAAAAAAAATTAAAAGAGAGAGAATCTAGAAATTACCAAACAGTCGTGTTTTCTCTTGAGTTTCACTTTCTGATGTAATCCATAAGAATCTTTATTCACTCCATGTCATAACTGCAAAGTAACTGTTAACTATGAATTCACACTAATGCTCATAATGCTTGAGAAATTCTGTGGACATCCCCCTGACTCATATTTTTAACTTAATGAGCCCCTAAAAAAAGCTTAGAGAGAACTTACAAAGTGTCTGAGAAATGCACATGTATAAAATAAAGCAATACTGTGTCATGACTTCATCTCTCTTTCATGTCACGGTCAGTCTGTTAAAAAGGATGTTACAGCTGAATCTAGAGGGATAACAAACCCAACAGGTCCTGGGAAGAGAGCAAACACCTTTCAAATGTTCCTAATAGGCAGGTAAATTCATTTATTAATATATTGAGGAAAATCCTCCACACACACCTGATTCAACAGGCCAGGGTACGCTAGACTGTCTCATCAAAAAGAGAAACATCATGTCATGTCAAGTGTTTTACAGCCCTGGTTTTATCTTCTATAAACATTGTTACTGTAATAACAGCTGATAACGGGAAGTTAGGAGTCTTCATGTAACGCTGACAGTGAGATGGATTGTTTTAAACATCTTCCGTTAACAATATAAACCCAAAAATGTAATATACAGTATCTGACTGATGATGACATTCTGAACAGTTAACCTCATACATCATTAATAGCTGAGCCACTGTAAATTTAAAACCACAAAAATATAATTATAAATAAGATATTTAATGTATTTTGAAGTTGAATAAATACATAATGATCCAACCAAGATTTTATTTACACTATGTACTACAATTCTTATTTGCCAACATGTGCTAATACAAAGATTTACAAGTATTTCCCTTCAGTGAATAAGAGTTTACAGCCATGCTAGCAGCTCAGTGAGGCTGGACTTTAAAAAAAAATACTGCTTTGAGCCAAATGCTAATATCAGCATGCGAACATGCTTACAACGACCATGTCAACATTATCATTCTTAGCAGGTATAATGAACAGGGCTGTGCCCAGGGGCCCCCCTAGGTATTACCTGCAAAATGTCACTGAAACAGGCACATACCAGCTACAAAGAGACAAAAATGATGACAAAAAACAATTATAAAAACGTATCTGTGCTCAGCAGCCCATTATTTCATGATCTGTCCATGAACCGAAGTATTGGACAAATGAAAAAATTTGACCTCATGGTGTGAAATGAAAAGTTAAGGGATCTCAAAAGTAATTGCAAATCATTCTGATGGGAACATGAATGTCCAGAATTTCATGGCAATCCATTTTATAGTTGCATAGATGTCTAAGTCACGTCATAGTGGTAGACTGATATTACCATCCCACAGGCCACTGCTAACTGAAAGCTAAAATTAGCTTTAAATATCTATATAATTTTGTCACTTGACTGATAGCTATAACTTTATTGCCAAGAAATGATGTTTTCTTAAGAATATGTAAATCTTCAGCTGCAAAAAAATAGTTTTGTTTTTTTGAGTAAAATAATTAATTCATCTGATTTACTGTATATGGTATGAATGTTTACAGGACAATTATAAGCTTTAACATACATGAAGGTGCATCATTATTATAGTATATATATTAGTGTGAAAATAAAAATGCAGACATGTTTGATGTTCATTTTATTTTACTGTAACAGGATGCAACTGATGCAGCAGGATTCATGTGCTGACAGTAGTCACTCACAACTTTTGCAGCAGATGTCAGTTACACATGAGATCATTATAGTGTATATTTTATTATCCACTCATTTGTAAGTTCCCAAAAGCAGCGTGAAGGTCCAGTGTGTGTCTTAAGCAAATATCTTAAAACACGCATCCTGAAATGTCAACAATATTTATGATAGTTAACCAAGTGTGTGTTTCTCATGCACGATTATTGAGTAATTTATCACTATCACATTTGATGACATCAGAAACTTAAAGGGTGCTATATCATAGTGGGCTGTTGGGTATATAAGCTGCCAAGTTCAGCATCTGAAGCAGTTTGGAAGATGAACGGATTCACAATGTGGACTCTGTTGGTTCTTTGCAGCGTGATCGCCACACATGGAGTGCAAGGTATTATGCACTAATTTCTTATTGTTGTGTTTTTCCTCTTTGGTTTTGAATTATTTTCTTTTTCGCTCACATCAGTATTACATTTGTGTTTTTAGGGCAGTAATGGGCAACATTAGACTGAGCTGTTGGAAAGATTCTGTGTCTATGTGTTTTTACATTTACTTTTTTTTTGGCTGTTGTTACCTTTGCTCTAACTGGGCTTTTAAGTGGCATTGATCTTTTGTTTTCTAATCCATAATCCATCAGGTGGTGATCGCTTCCAAACAACGGCGGTACCAGGTTCTCCAGGTACAAAACTAATTCTAAATTTTTAGTTTAGCTTTAATTGTCTAAAATACATACATCAAAAATGTTGTCTCCCTTGCCCTGTTTCCATGAGAATGGGTTGATGTGTTGTTGCTTTCAGGTGGATTTAGCCAACAGTTTCCATTTACTAAGAATATTGAAAGTGAAGTGATTATTAGGATAACTAACGTCCTGAGTTATATTTTCTTTTTCACTCACATCAGTATTACATTTGTGTTTTTAGGGCAGTAATGGGCAACATTAGACTGAGCATTGAGCTGTTGGAAAGATTCTGTGTCTATGTGTTTTTACATTTACTTTTTTTTTGGCTGTTGTTACCTTTGCTCTAACTGGGCTTTTAAGTGGCATTGATCTTTTGTTTTGTAATCCATAATCCATCAGGTGGTGATCGCTTCCAAACAACGGCGGTACCAGGTTCTCCAGGTACAAAACTAATTCTAAATTTTTAGTTTAGCTTTAATTGTCTAAAATACGTACATCAAAAATGTTGTCTCCCTTGCCCTGTTTCCATGAGAATGGGTTGATGTGTTGTTGCTTTCAGGTGGATTTAGCCAACAGTTTCCATTTACTAAGAATATTAAAAGTGAAGTGATTATTAGGATAACTAACGTCCTGAGTTATATTTTCTTTTTCGCTCACATCAGTATTACATTTGTGTTTTTAGGGCAGTAATGGGCAACATTAGACTGAGCTGTTGGGAAGATTCTGTGTCTGTGTTTTTACATTTACTTTTTTTTGGCTGTTGTTACCTTTGCTCTAACTGGGCTTTTAAGTGGCATTGATCTTTTGTTTTATAATCCATAATCCATCAGATGCTGATCACTTCCAAACAACGACGGTACCAGGTTCTCCAGGTACAAAACTAATTCTAAGTCTCCCTTGCCCTGTTTCTATCAGAATGGTTTGATGTGTTGTTGCTTTCAGGTGGTTTTAGCCAACAGTTTCCATTTACTAAGAATATTAAAAGTGAAGTGTTTATTAGGATAACTAACGTCCTGAGTTATCTGAGTCATCTGAGTCACAGAATGTGTTGATACTGTTGTGTTGTATCGCTCTGTTGCTCTACTTTTTTTTTCAGTTTCTGATGCAACATACGGACATTTTGGAACAAGTGATTCTGCAGCAGGTAAAATGAGTTCCAGCAAAGCACAATGTCAGCTCATGGTTGTGGGTTTTTGCTTTGCTCAGTTAAAACATTCATGTAAAAAGTTTAGTTTTGTCAGGAGAGATAACCACACAGATCAAAAGCAATTGGCATAAACACATTAAACACACAATAAGATTTTTTTGGACAAAATACCTTTGAGGAAGTCTTTGACGTGTAGATTAAGAAGAAGTAATTTGTGCATTTCCCAACCCATTGTAGTTCAATATACGATCTCAGCATTTTTTCTTTTATTCTCTGCACCGCACCATAACATTTACTTTGTTTCTTACTTGTAAGACTGTCAATCTTGTTGTCGGTTGTCATTTGTTATTTCTCTATTCTTTGCAAGTCTTTTTAGTTTTACATTTTCATAAACCTGTGTTTCTTCATCTGCAGCATGTGGTGGTTATCTGTATAGCACCAGTGGCACCTTTCACAGCCCCAACTATCCACACAATTACTATGACTATGCAGACTGTACTTGGTACATCAGACCAGGCAGACAAATTGTGCAGCTGGAGTTCTCTAATGTAAAGTAAGTGTATGTCCTGCGGTCACTAACTACTGGCGCTGTATTGTCTGTGGCTTTAATTTCAAATCCCTGCTCTTCTTTTGCTCTTGTGACAGCATTGAGAATCACCCAGAATGCAATTTTGATGTCATTTACGTCTATGATGGCTCCAGCACTGGAAGCAGGCTCCTGGGGAAGGTGTGTGGCTCAAACAACGCCATCTTCCGCTCCACCGGGTCTTATTTGACGGTGCGCTTCAGGAGTGATAGCAGTGGTGGATACTCAGGATTTCGTGCTTACTACAAAATTGTTGGTAAGTTGCTTTGGATGTGACCAAGATATTTTACACAGTGTGTCCCCATTCATTTCAGATTAACATTTCACATAAAACAACATATGATAATCTTATAAAATACAATACAATTGTTGAAGAGTAAGATTGGTTGGTGCCACTGTTTCAAGTCCACCAGTTTTTCACATGGTGTAATTTAAGTCACTGTTTGAGGCCCAAAGGCATAAAAGTGTACAAAGATTAGAGAAATAAAATATGAAAGCAAATGTGTGTAGCAGAAATTAGTTTTTCATTCTTTGCTGCCCCTACATTAATCATCTCATGACCCCAGTGATTTATACTGTGACCCTTTGGGGTCCAGTTACATTAGTAAAATGCTCTTTATGCATTAATGCATCAGTATTAACAATATATTGATAATGTATTCACCGTTTTTCTTAGCAGAATGGGTACCTGTCCTTTTAATACTTTAAGTACACTTTACCTCTGAGCTATTACTTTAGCAGGATAATGAATACAGGCCTTTTAACTGTAACTTTCACATTGTTGTACTGATACCTTTACTTTAATCTGGGTACTTCTTCCACCACCAGACCAGGCTGTAGCAATATGATGGTCTTTGCTGAGTAGAATAGGTGAAGTATCAAAAGGCTCATATATCAATCTAATCTCTCTGTCATACAGATTTCAGCTCAGCCACATCTGCACCAGTCACAGGTAATTTAATCTCTCCAAGTAAAAGTTCCATACATTTTTCACTGGAAGTTTCTCCTGTAAAAGTAATTGTTTTCCCCTAGCTCGGCCCTCGTGTCGTTACAACTGCGGTTCCAACATGGGAAACTGCTCCTGCTCAAGCTCTTGTCAATACTATGGCAACTGTTGTCATGACTACAGCTGTAAGTGTCCAGCAGTTCTCACGCTTCAACAGCCTCACTATCTCACCACTGTTTAAACCCTCATGTTTACTAGAAGAAGAGAGGAGGAGCTGAATAGGAGTGAAAATTGATAAATTGAAAAATGAATTAATTCACTACTGTAATTGTTGTCTTTCTCTCAGATTACTGCGGAGCTGGAATCACGACCGAAGGTATTTAACTATCTGAAAACTGTTTCAAGCAGCAGCTCAAAGGTCAAATGAATATTCTCTTAGAGAGTTGAAAATACTTTGGTTTGACTATATCATCCTGTGTCTCCCAGCTCAGCCCTCGTGTCGTTACAACTGCGGTTACAACATGGGAAGCTGCTCCTGCTCAAGCTCATGTCAACACTATGGCAACTGTTGCTATGACTACAACTGTAAGTTCCAAGTGTAAAAAATCAACAGCATTAGCAGCCCTCTCTTGCTGAAGGAATCTGTCTGTCAAATTCCAGTATACTGTGCTCAGAATGACACATAGCAGTAGCTGTATTATAAGTTATCATGCAGTAAGTTAATGACCTCATTTTTCTTTCTCTGTCATGTAGACTACTGCCCATCAACGAGCACTACAAGGAGGCCTGCCACCACAGGTATAAAAACCCTTCAAGCTTCAGCCAATTTAGCTTGGAGAACTTGATATGTAATGGTTCCTCAGTAGCTGTAACGTAATGTCAACGTCATCCTGTGTCTCCCAGCTGGGCCCTCGTGTCGTTACAACTGCGGTTACAACATGGGAAGCTGCTCCTGCTCAAGCTCTTGTGAATACTATGGCAACTGTTGCTATGACTACCACTGTAAGTGCCAAGTGTAACAAATCAACACGATTAACAGGCTTAGTATCCCTCTCTTGCTGAAGGAATCACTCAAATTCCTCAGGGCTCATACAAACATGGCATGATAATATGTTTTGTTCACAGTTGCAGAATAAACAGCAGGTGTATCATCATGTTTTTTTACACAGTAAGAAGAGGTTTAAAACATAATTACCACTTTATTCTCTTCTCTCTGTCATGTAGCTTACTGCCAGTCCACCATTTTCAGAATGTAATATTTAAGAATTAATGTTATATCAGGAGACTTCTATACAGATTATAATGTCAGTGAACTGAGTAAATTGCTGGAAGTCAAAATTTTTAGTATGACCCTCTTTATGAGTGGGTCCAGTTCATGTAACTGGACCCACTCATAAAGAGGGTCATAGTCAAAATTTTGTGATTTAGCACAGGATTTAAAAAATACTATTTTTATGTCTTTAATGATGTACTTCCTGTTGAAACAGGATGTTGGGGCAGAACATACGCTGATCGATCATTGTGAAATCTAAATCAAAGTGATATTAGTTAACGAGAAAAAAAAGAAAAATGCTATGATCTGATAGGAAAGGGACAGAATATTGGTTGAAGTTTTTCTTTACAGGATGAGGTAATCATCAAAGATTCACAGATTTGCAGAAATGTGAAGTGTCAATTTCACATCAGTTTCCAGTCCTGGAGGATATTCATATTGTTCATGTGAAAAGTGACAGAAGTAGTTGTGTAATAAAAAAAAAAAAGAGCTAGAGCGAGAAGTGCAAACCTTGGCTCCTTTCTCACTTCCCCACAGCTGACCAGTCACTGCGTAAAGTGGGTGTGAGTGACAGAATGTCACTTATAGAAATGGTCGCAATTCTGATGGAAACAACCATCCGACAAGCAGTTCTCACCCCCACTGACTGAAAATTACCCTGCAACTCAACAACATCGAAGTAGAGGTTCTTAATTTTTGTGCTAAAAGCCTCAGGAGCAGCATGTCTTCATTTAGCCTGCCTGTCTTTACAAAGGACCACACAGACCACAAATTGTTGATGCTGACCACACACGCCACTTACAAAACGTATCTAAAGTAAAAGGCTTCCTATCACAGTCAAATGCAGAAAAAAACTTGCCTACGCATTTATTTTAGACTACTGCAATGTCCTTCTTACTGTATTTAACACAACTGCTGATCGACTGGATAACAATATAGACATGGTTGGATGATATTTTTTTGTTCACAGTTGTTTGTTGATGTATATGAATGATTGTAATTGTTTCATTGTCTCTCTTTGCCATGTAGCTTACTGCTACTGGACCACTGAAAGTGCCACCTCAGGTATGACCAAGCCTCTAAACAGTCTGGAGTATGTGTGAGTAAAGCAGCATGTCATTTATTCTGCTGGCAGGAAAGAGTACTGAAATGTCTCTTCTATGTCTCCCAGCTCAGCCCTCATGTCGTTAAAACTGCGGCAATTACATGGGAAGCTGCATATAGTTTGCTGCAATGACACTTGTGCCATCTTGTCCACCTTTAGCAACACCCTGTGGAGGCTCTTTGTCTGGTTCTGGCACCTTCTCCAGCCCGAACCATCCCAACTACTACTACGACAACGCCTACTGTGTCTGGCAGCTCAGAGCTCCGTATGACCAAAGAATCTTCCTGGATTTCACGTTCCTGCAGTGAGTGAAGACTGGTTCTTTGGAGACCATTAGTATAAATAAGCGCCCTCAATATGTGAATTACACATGGAGAAATTACAGTATGTGATGACAGGAGTGACAGAGAATATTATCAACTTCCTGGAAAAAATACCAACAAAATATAGATTTAGGCTCTGAATGGATCATCATTAAAGAAACTGTATTTCGAGTTTTACTTCAGTAAGTGAATAATCTTAATAATCTATGGCTTTTATCATATTTTTTTAACCTAGATTGGAGAACTGCTGCAACTGTGACTACGTTTCAGTCTATGATGGACCATCTGTCGGTTCACGATATCTGGGCAAAGTGTGCAACAACAGTCTGAACACTTTCTACTCGACCTCCAACTACATGACTGTGCTCTTCAGAACTGATGGTTCTGTTGTCGGCCGAGGGTTCAAAGCTGAGTTCGCGAGCTCTTTGCCACCAAACTCAGGTAGAGATATGATATATATGATATTTAAAAGTGGGTATAAGACACTGAGTTCTTTCAACTTATGTGTTAAATGTCTCTTGCGGACTGAAATACATCCTGTGAAACAATCTATACTGTCTGCTTTGGCTTGTAAAACTGTCACGAGGGATATCTCAATTTGACTACAATTTTTTCACAGAAAGCGTGTGTTACAAAGAAGGGGTATGGAGTTTGAAAGATGTGAGCAATTACCAGGCAGGGAGGATCTAACCAAATGTTGCTGTTGGTTGCATTATGGGTAATGTGCAGTAGCTGCTCTGTGGGGCTGTACATAGGCACAGTGGAGCATTGTGCTAAATACAAACATTGTCAATGCTTTAGCATGTAATGTTTACCATGTTTACTTAATTTAGCTACAAACAAAATACAGCTGAAGCTGATGGGAATGTCATTAGGTTTGCTGTTATTTTGTCATGAACCAAAATATTCGACAAATTAAAACCTGAATGTGCTGTTAAATGATGGGATAATCCATCTGCCACATATGTGAACCTCATGGTAGTGCTAAAGCAAAAGTCAAGGGATCATCAATTCCAGTAGGCTTCATACTCTGGGGACCAAGAATGTTTCGCCAAAATTTCATGGCAATCCTATGAGTGCTTGTTGAAATATAAAAATTTGGACCAAAGTGATAGATCAACCAATGCTAGAGCAACACTTGGGTAAAAATGCAAGTATTGTGAAATGCTACACCGTCATCCTTAAAGTAATTCAGGCTGTTGTAAATATCATGTCTCCTCTGTCAGGTCGAGTGGACTGTTCCTCAGACAACATGAACATTGTGATTGAGAGGAGTTACCTGAACTCTCTCGGCTATGATGGCCACAGTCTGTACCTGGACGACCCATACTGCAGACCCCAGGTTTCCAGGTACCAGGTGGTCTTCAATTTCCCCATCAACACTTGCGGCACCGCTCGAAAGGTAGACAACTCATCACCTTCTGGAAAACATTCGCAATATGCAGTACTTTGTAATAATTCTCCCACAAATTACAGTGATGGTTAAGACATACAGTAAATGCAGATGTCAGTGGATTCTTGAGTGTGACTGTTTTCCACTATCTTCTACCATGAACAGTTTGAGAATGGCAAAGTTGTGTACACCAACGCTATCCGTGCCTACACCTCCAACTCCGGAGAGATCACACGCCAGACCCACCTCAAACTGAACGTGGGCTGCCGAATGGAGCAGGACTCAGTGTCCCAGATTATGTACCTTGTGGAACATCATGATAACAGTAGCATTGTAGGCACAGGCAGATTCAATACCAGCATGGCATTCTACACATCCAGCAGCTTCTACTACCAGGTGTGTTCAGGTAGTGGTAAAGGAATGACTGTTTATGCAGAAGATTCCTATTGTAAATACTTACACATGATGCTGATATTTTACACTCTCAGGTGACTCAAGTTCCATACAAGGTGACACTCAACCAGAACATGTACGTCCAAGTGGACCTGAGAAGGGGTGACAGCACCCTGGTCCTCTTTCTTGACACCTGTGTGACCTCACCATCGCCCCATGATTTCCAAAGCAGACCTTACTACCTGGTCCGTAACGGGTAAGATGAGTGTGTTGTCTTGCTTCACTGCTCCCCACAAGCAGTGTAGATAGAGCACCTAACCTGCACGGGCTTCCTGTGACTGTTTTTGAAATAAGAGCGGCTGGATTAGTGTAGTCAATGCTGAAACTTCTAGTGTGTCCCACCAAACACCAGTGGTGCAAAGTAATCAAGTACATTTGCTAAAGTATTATACTTAAGTACAATTTTGAGGTACTTGCACTTGTGTATTTCCATTTTCTGATACTTTATATTTCCTCTCCATTACATTTATTTTACAGCTATAGTTACTTGGTACTTTACAGGTATAAAATATTTCACAACAAAACACTTATAAGTGTATATAAGTGGCACTGTTAAAGATAAACCTGTGTTTCCCCAAACTGTATGGCTTGTGACTTATTAAGGAAATGGCAGCCGGGGCCTCTTGTAACATGTTTCAGACATCTACGATTTGTTAGCAATTTTATTTGCAGTATTGGAACTTTTACTGAAGTAAGGGATCTGAATAGTTTTCCACATACAAATGTTAATAAACAAAGTACAGGCCCTTGCTATTCTCTTAACATGATAATCCATGTCCCTTACATAGTCATAGTATGTGTATTGTCCAGTAACACTGTCTGTCTCACCTTCAGATGTCCTGTGGACAACACCTACTATGCCTACACCAGTGGCACCAATGCCTACGCCCGCTTCAGATTTAGGGCGTTCCAGTTCCTGCGAGCCACAGAGTCAGTGTATATCCAGTGCAAGGTCCTGATATGCCAGGCCTCTGACTACAATTCCCGCTGCCGCCGTGGCTGCAACAGACGTATGACCAGAGATGTGGGGTCAAAACATGACAGCCAAACTCTGGTCATGGGTCCCATCCAACTCAAAGGTCTGTAGCCATTCGTACCTGGTTTTGATGTCAATAGTGGATCAATTGAAAAAATCATATTAGGTTAGCAGGAAGAAAAATCATTGTGATCTCATGAGCTCAAAAAACATAACAATAAAAGACATTTCACTATTTCTCTTTGACAGAACTTGAGAAAAAGGAAGAAGGGACTGATAAGCAGGACATGAAGCAGGACATGGAACGGGACAAGAAGCAGGACAAGGATTAACTTATTGCAGATATTGCAGTGAGCTGCATCAATCTTTACAAATCTAAATCTCCTACCATTCTTTTCACTGTGACTTTATTATACTCACCATTTCTCTTTATCGCATTACCTGATTAAAAGCATCATCAAAAGACAATCTGTGTTTGTGTATTTCATTATGTTATACTCTTAATGTTTAATATTAACACCCCATAAAATTAATATCACTTTTGCTGAATACAGAGGTGGAGAAAATGAAAACAAAAGACAAGATGCAGCTCTGTTAGAAAACACTTTACTTATAAATTAGTTAGATTAATCCATCTCACAATAAAATGATTTGCCATCCCAGAGGGAGCGTGATCGCCAAAAGGCTTCAACATTCACCATTACCTATGAACCTACGACACACTGAGAGAACATAAGGCAGTCATTACTGGATGCCCCTATTATTGGTAAGCATGGTGACAAAACGGTGGTCCTATAAACGGTAACTATGTTCTCCACACATGTTGCTAAGCAACAGACAACAGTACTCAAGACAAAGAACAATCTTGCTAAAGTAGCAGTCTTCCTGCAAAACGATTTTGCTTTTTTGACACTGAACATCTATCCAACCACTCAGAATACAATACTCAGTAAATATTCAGAAAAGCACTGGGATCCATGTGATGAATGGGGGGATTGTGGTGTATTATCACAAAGGCTAAAATTTGGCATCCCCAGTGCTACGTGGCAATTCTGAAAAAGTGTTCACATGAGACACAAGACTTGGTGATTCTGTCCTAAACACGGAGATACTGGTTATCAAAGTGACTTCATACAATATCAAAAGATCAGAATGATATAGTTAAAAGGATATGCAAAACCCTTTTAAGAAAATGAGAGGAGTTACCATGATGCTGGTCAAGGAAGGGCACTGTGTGGAGGAACTTCAAAAACAACACGACTTCAATAAAATCTAGTTTAACATCTTAACTGGCTGACCATACAAAGTGCGGCCAGGTTTTACTGTAAATGCCACCCATATAGTACAGCTGGCATTGATTTCAAAGTTTCTTAGCAGCACTCATGGACCAGAATTTTGGCAAACAAAAAAAATCGTGGCTACCATAGAAAACTACAATGGCCCAACTTTTTTTTCTAAGGTTCTGGGCCTATCCATTACAGTAAGAAGAGAATAACTGTAATAATATTAATCTTCAAAGTAACAGTCCTCTTTATCTTGGACACACAAGAAAGTGACTATGTCAGGCACTGCAAATAAATAGTAGTAATGCACCAAGCACTGAAATAATTTCAACAAGGCTTAAGTAAGATCACTCGAGGCCAACAGTTTGACTCCTGTGTGAGTATCATTACAGAAATCTTTATAGCTCCAGGAGTGTTGAGAATTTATTTGGGTGACTCAGTCAGAATCGCCCTGCAACACACATTTGTTTTGTCTTTACAGTTTGTATTTTTCTAAAGGAACATGCTGCTAAGAGTGACAGCCAATTTGTTGACCCTCCCCCCTTTACTCTCTTAACAGGCACAGGTGAGCTATGGTCATGCTTTTTTCTTCCATGAGGTGATGTTATATTTAGGATTTTTTTTTTAGAGTCAATGGAGACATTACATCTAGCCACTGCATGTGTACATGGTTTCCTCAAAATATGTAGTCTGCCCTTAGCATTAGTTATATCACTTGAGAGGGATTGAAAAGCATCACCTCTGCGTTTTGACCATCATATTTCAAATCATGTATATGCAACATTACAGTTGACCATTTTCTATGGTATATTTTATAAGTTGCTTTTAGATTTGTGAATGAATTCCTTAAAAAAAAAAAAGAGAAACAAAGTTCAAGGAATCTTGTGAATTTGGTTACCTACTTCATTCAATAAGGTCAGTTAGTTTGGCTGAGTAGGGAAGTTGTCTTTATTTTTTAACAGCACATAATTGTGACTCCCTCAATCACCACAAATAAATTCTCAACCTGTTGAAAACACTGATCATCCCTTTATAATACACTTGAATGGGCACCTTTAATTATATAAAATGGAACCATCTGAATGTTGACATTTTCCTGTATAAGTACAACTTTTAAAGGCTAGGCTACATCAAGGCCAAGTAAAAGACCAATAAATAAAATTACTATGGAATTAATAAAAAGAAAGCTGTCCGTTAAAAGTTCATTCAAATTCATACTCAGTCATCCATTACTTGTGCTGCCCGCGGGCAAAGTGGCAGGCAAAGTCGTACTTGCTCTTGCACTTGTAGCCACAGATGTTGCACTGGAATGGGTTCTCGTACCCATGGCAGCCCATGTGGATGGTGTAGAGGATGTTGTCTGGGAAGTAGATGTCACAGTGCTGGCAGTGATGCAGCATGTGGGAGTCCTGGAGTGGGGCGGACAGGCCTGGAGCTGGTGTACTGGGTTGGCTGTTGGAGATACTAGGGGTACTGGTGCGCCCACTGTGCTCACTGCAGGGTCCCCCTCCAGGGCTGCAATTGCTGTGGGGAGGAGCCCGGGGCTCTGGGGTGATTGGGGAGGAGGAGGAGGCATGGGCCATGCTGGCTGTGACAGCCACAGGAGCTGTGGCGGGGTGGGGCTGCTGGATGAGGAAGGGCTTCTCATCTACGATAGATTCTGCTCCTGGAGACATGGGAGGTTGAGTCTGACCCTGGGACTCTGAAGGGAGGCTGGCCAACTGGCCTGCCAGGGTGGAAAGCTGGTTCAGGGGGTTGTCCATGACCATATCATGGTGATGGTGATTTTGATTTGTGGAGAGCCCGTCCTCGACTGCTCGATTCTGATTATCATAGGTCTCCTGACGTAAGTGGGGCAGCTCATGAGAGAAGTCATTCACATTGTCAGCCTTGTGCACCACCATAGAAGGGGGGCTGAAGTTGATGAGGAGCCGGCGGCCATAGCCCAGTGAGCTGGCCTTCTTCTGTAAAACACTCAGCATCTTCTTGTGGGAAAGTGAGCGAGCACCTTTCATTGGCAGGAGTTTGTGACGTCTGCGGCGATGGTGCGACAAGTTGCTACGATCACTGCAGCGGAAGGAGCACAGCTCACACTTGTAAGGCTTCTCGCCTGTGTGTGATCGCATGTGGGCCTCCAGGTGGCGCTCGTAGGCCGAAGCAAATGGGCAAAGGTGGCAGCGGTGCGGCTTCTCTCCTGTTTAATTGGAAAAACAGGATCAATAATAAAACTTTGTGAGCGTTATCCCCTGAAAATTAACTATTAACACTTACCTGTGTGAATTCGGATGTGCTCAATAAGTCGTGCTGTGCCTCTGGTGGCATAGTTGCAGTAGCGGCACTTGAGCTTGCCGTCATATGTCCTCTCAAAACCATCCACAAGGATCCCTGAGCTGTCCTCAAGTGACATGTCCACTGCGGGGTGGTCCAGTCCATTTTGACTGCAGTCTGCATACAGGAACATTAGCAGCACTTATAATTTATACAAGAAAACACCAAAATGATACCATACCATACAAGCACTGATTATACTTTACTACGGTATATAGGGAAACAAGTGATTTGGCAGTAATGTCTTATTTTCATGAATACCATAGCTGCCTTTAATTCATTTAGCTGGCATTCAAGTTGTAACAACATGTAGTCCAACTCTTATGTTAACTGCATATTATAGGTGGCACTATGAAATATAAACGGGACAGTAGTTCAGAAATTGTTATCAAAACAACAGCCAATGATTTAACAAGCTGATTTATCACAGATTTATTGAAGGATCAAGTGGAAAACAATGACCATGTCCGATTACTCCAGCAGTAAGTGATAACATTCATTAAACTACATCTGATATCAGATAATGCCTATAGGGACATCTGTCAGCGGGTTGCCTAAAAATTAACTGAACAAAACTGCACTAAACCCACGCATAAAAAAATGCTGAATTTACATATAAGGGCTATAAACAGAGGTTAAATGACACTAGCAGTAACACAGTTACTTTACCTGCTGGCAGCTCGTCCGCCTCCTTGACGCCGCTGACAGAGCCTGATATCATGTTGACATGTTGAGTCTGCTGGCTCAGATACTCCTGGAAATCCTTCACAAAGTCCAGCGTGTCCGGCTTTTCCTCACCCATTGAAAGAAAGCGATGCAAATGTCCAACACTAAAAAGACGTGTTACGTGTTTTACTGTGGCGATCACAATTATGAATCTGCATGAAGTCAGGGAATTAAAATGTCATGAAAACACATATGCAACCAACCACATTTAAAAAAAAGTCTAAGTATCCGTGTCGTTAACGTAGCTAGCTGATTTCCAAAGTTACACACCTACCTCTTCGAAGATAAGTCGTCGGTTAAATGTAAACAGTTTTGTTTGCTCGCTTGGAAAAGCTGTTTAGTAGCTATCCAGACACAAACAATGGGGTAATCCTGAAAACCAGTAACTGTCAAGCAGGAAATCGGCGCGATCCGATTAAAGCTCGGTCGCTCCTACACACCGCTCCTCATCACCGTCATGTTGTTACCAAAGCTACGTACGCTGCGTTAGCTGCACAGCTAACGTTAGCTTAACTCGGAGATAGCATCTTTGTCAACAGCTACGCCGGTATCTGCTCAACACGGTCATCACTTACATAGTCCGTACGAGTGTCCGTAAACCCCACAAGTCTAATACTAGTTTTAAAATATCCGTTCCGTCGACACAATCGATACAATTCACAAAGAAAGACAACCTGCGAAATCAAAACAATAAACCAGTTTGAGGGGTCAAAGTTCAATATCTGTGCACCGGTGAAAACCGTCCCGCCAAAAAACCAATATAGCCCGCCAAGAAAGGTTCCCTTCACCTCCACTAATGCCACAGCTTTGGTAAAAAGACAAAGTTATACAGTTGTCCACATTGTATGCATTCAGCGAAAACGCAATACAACATTTTTAAACAACAATATGAATCGACGCACCTCTTTTGTATTTTCTGTGCCTGAAGACCAAAAATGTTTTGTACAGACGACGAGGCCTAAAACATGCCGCAGAGGAATGGGTAAGATACAATTTAACACAAATAATGTATTATTTACAAATTCTGAAACTCCAGTTAATGGCCTGAGGTTACACGTCGGATGTTGATTTAAATGTATGTTAATGTTTTCAAAATAACTGTGAAGCAAACAAACTTTTTAGCTAGTTCACCTAACTAGCTAAAAAGCGCATTCGACAGAGGAGAACGCCGTCGAAGGGATTTAACTATGTGGCTTTCTGATGAAACATGGAACTTTTTTCTGGTTTAGCGTCAGCATTAATATTAAGACAACAAACAAACTTGTGCACATTTTTAGACTGGCACAACTCTTAAGATGATGTCTTATTATGGAGTTGTTTAGTGTCAACATTTCACGTCAAATATAGGCTCATACATGAAGGAACTTGTTTTCTAAAACAATTTTTAGATAATATCTTTTATGTTAGTGATTCAAAGATGAAATTGTCATTAATAATTTGTCAACGTTGTATCAATATTGAAACTTACCTTCAACAATGCACTTTGTCATCAAAGACAATGGCTTTTTTTTCTTTTTTTTTCTTTTTTACAGACAGTTTGAATTAGAAACACAGATGTCTTGCCACCAGCTAATGAAGTTAACTGATAGCATTGTCCCTGACATGACACACTTTCAGATGTACAGCTTGCAATTATGCGCAAGTGGCAAATGAGGCACAACAATTGCATTACTTTCAAAAGCTATTGACTCATCCATGTTTTATCACAATCAATAATTTACCAGTAAGGGCTTGGTGAAGATCACATTGCCCCATTTGTGTCAAAGTTGTAGGAAAACCACTGAGGAGAAGATGATAAACGACTAAGTTGAGTGAGGCTGCTGTATCCTCTTACCGCATTACAACTGCTACTGTCAGAGCAATAGTATTACAGCAGTAATGTAAACCTGCTGCCAGAGAACACTTTACTCTGTAACAAGAGTCATTCATTTGATGTTGACAATTTATATACCTATCTGTGCTATGTCCTGTGGAGAAGCTATAGCGTGTGTGTGATCTGTTTGTGTGTCTCTTCAGGGAATGTTAACATGCTATTTTACGTTTTTTCATAGATCAGATTGGATCTGCATGTACACCTGCTGTTGCCTGTCCACATATGAGTGCAGTTCAGCATCCGGACACTAGATGGCGCACATGTCTCAGTGATGGTACAGGTACTTCCCATTTTACCACACACTGTTTTGAGACTCAAGGACTCCACATGACACAGGATACCAAGGTAAGACATGCAGGCTGGTACAAGTTCTAACCTCGCAGGAAAAGGTTTGACTCATCAAGATTAGACATGTCATTGCTATCACTGTGCAGACACAGAAAGCTCAGTCTACAGTAAGCTAGCGAGTCCTGTCTGTGTCAGCTGCCAGTCCTGTGGGACAGCATGTAGAGCACCCACAGAAGACGTGACAGTCAACCTCATCAGTTGAACCGTGACCGCCGGAGCAGCCAATTACATCACCTTCTAACAGCCTGTCCACACTAATGTTATTTTATTGCAATTTAATTATGCTCAGGTTTCCACCGAGGCCAGATCCTTTTGAATAATTTACACACAGCCACAATGATTTGTCGTCACGAAAAGACAAACTACACACGTCTTGGTGCTCTCATTTGTTTCAATTGTTTGTTTTTTTTTTATTCATATCGTATAAATCTTTGAAACAATAATCTCACGTTGTATTTACTACTAAGCATCTCCTGCAGTTAGAGCCAACATAGCTGCTGGTTTGAAGGACAGATTTATTAAGCCTAAAAATACTTAAGGGGAAGAATTGGTCATCCTTAATTTTGCATTAATGACATGTCCACTGCACGATATATTAAGCTGTTCTGTTAAAGGGCAGTGAGCATGTATTAATGAGACTGAGTGCAGGTAATACTCAAATAGGGCTTAGTGTGGGTGGTATTTACATCCAATAATACTGTGGTCACACTGTTGGAAACTTTTTGTTGAAAAACTGCTTTGGATGTTAAATGGCTTACCTTCAGCCATACAATTACATAATATCTACTCTAACATAAATCAAACATGGTAATCCAACATTTGTGTCTATTTTGATAGAATGACTCAATAACTCATATACTTAACATTTTGTATAGATCTGACTTGAACTCAAAACCTTTATGAGACCAATCTAAATTATATGAGCGAGCGTTTGAATATACACACTGCCACATGTAGAATGGGCTCTGGGACAACACCTGTCTTTGAGAAGGTTGCAGTGTTATCCACTTGCTCTGATTCACATTTAAAAGGCCTGAATGAAAAGGTTCCCTTCTCCTCTTAACTGCTTGATTTACAGGCTGTTTGTGGTTTAACGCCACACAAGACAATTCATTTGCTCCTCCTTTCCAAGAAAGAAATTGGAATTTAATTTAGAAAAAGGTCTTAAGCAGTTTTTTAAGAGTTGGTGTCATTTGTTGGGCTGCATTAGAGATTACCCTCCTGGAAAAGCTTTTTAATCCTAGACAAGTGCAGCCATAGTAACGGTAGACGGGAGCCTCTTGGATGCAGAAAGGTGAAGAGGGACTTTGACGAGATTTATTCTTCTTCTACTGCGACTGTTTCTTTCTTGAGGTCTCCCGCTCCACGTGGAGCATTTGAAAAAGAACTGAGAGGAGGGGGATAGGAAAAAGGAGGTATATATTAAGCTTTTCTTTCCTCTCACCACTTAATTTCCTTGCAGGCGCGCCTTGCGCCGTTGTAATGAATGTAATTGCTGCCTTTGATGAGAAAGCTATTATCTGGATCACACTTTACATGGGCAAACAAGACTGCCCCTCCCTCCACCTCCACCTCCCATTTAACTCAGCAATGAGACCCCCCAATTATGCAGGGAACAAGTGGCTTTTCATAAAGCCAGCGTGTCGCTCTTGATTGGTGAGGCTTGGAGCTGGCTACATGTGGACAAAGGATAGATTAGTTGTGATATAGGCACACCAAAAACCCCATTTCCTTGATTAATTTCCTGCATGCCTCGCAGAATGGCCCACTCTCTCCCCGCTGAATTCTATCTCTCCTTTTAAAGACAAACTTTCATCTTTTGATAGGTGTGGCAGCTCAATGGACAGACAGACATTTTATTGACCTAAGTTTGACCACAGCTGCCTGGACTTCAAGAGGGAATAGGAGCAGAAAGAGAAATGTGTCACTTCAACACGGGAGGATGGGCTTATTTTTCTTATGAAAAGCTCAAAGTCTTTGTGGTCCTACAGTATTTCTGCCCTCAGCCAGGATCAACTCGCTTTTCATGCTGATCTGTTTGTGCTCTCATGTCATCACCCTCTATACACACACACACACACACACACACACACACACACACACACACACACACACACACACACACACACACACACACACACACAGGCACAGGTTGCTCACTCATTCGCTGTCTCTTTCACACACCCACACACAGACACACTGAAGCACGCTAAACATCCATTTGATAATAGTGGCGAACAGATATGATGGGAGTTTATGAGGCGACGCGCGATAAAGCTGCTGTCACCTTAGGAAGTCGAAGTGTTCTTCTGACTGCCTTATTACCGTATTAAAAGCACGACTCGACGAATTCACACACACACCTCAGCCTGGCTCTGACAACCCGGCGCGATTCTGTCCAATATTCCACCAGGCTGAAATATCGAGAACAATCAAATAGACTGTCACAAGTGACAAATTATACTATTACTCCTCAAAGATTGTCATCCTTGAAATGTATTCATAGCCATTTCTTCTTTATCGGTGAGTGATTATTCCTCTAAGCAAGCAATTCCCCTGTGATAAATTGCTAATCAATTCATTTGACTGTTATGCTTTGAGAATGGCTACGAGGGATCAGCAGCATTGGTCACTCTTCTTCACATGGTGCTGTTGGGCCTGATAGATGCCAGCTGCCTGACCACCTGACTCTTAAAGGTTTATACCATCAGAAGCAGGTTGCCATCCGGACCCAGTCACGACAGAGAAAGAATTGGCCAATATTTTTGACTGAAGTGGCATTTTAGCAGTATATATTTGATGGTCCTACTACCAAAACCATGGGTCACAAATAAAGAAGATGGTATAATAGCTTTTGACTGGCCAGCTAGCTCTCGACTTGAAATGAAGTGTCCAGTTGTGAGTTATCGTGGCCAAACGTCATTTGTACAGCCTGAAAAGTGGGGACATTTTTCTAGCTTGTCACTCTCTAGCTATAGCTCATTGTCCTGAATGATGCCTCTGAACGCACAGTTGCCCTAATACGAGCATTTCACTCGCACTGCAAGAAGGCTGGTAATGGATTAGCCTGTCCATAGGAAGATAATATAGTGCGTCCACTGGCACATCCTTAAACACCAATGGTCACACATAGAGTATCAACCCTCAGCATGTCTACCACACTGCTCACACTTAGTATCATCTTAGCCGGCTGAAACAAAACAAAGATTGTTTTTTTTTTTTTACATCCACAACTAACGATTCATTTTTATCAGTTCATCTGCTGATTATTTTCGTGATTAATTGCTTTAACCAATCCATTGTTTACATTAAAATATCCCAGAGTACAAGGTTTTGAAATTGCTAGGTTTGTCCAACAAACGAAAAACCCAAAGATATTTAGTGTACGGTCACATAAGGTATGTAACAAATCCTGAATGTCTGCTTAAAAAATAACATAAATGATTAATGAATAATCAAAATAGTTTCTGATTAATTTTCTGTTAGTTGGCCAATTAA